AGAGCAGAGGAGCACACGTGAGTAATCCCCAAACTACTGGGACTGCAGGCCACCGTCTCACCAGGAGGTGCAGACCACCATCTGACGGGGATGCAGACAGACCATCTGACTGGGGGCTACAGACCACCATCTGACCTTGTTTTCCTGGGCCTCTTTCTTCCCTCCCTCTATCTCTTCCAAAGACATACATACATACCCCCCCCACACACACACTTACCACACATCACACATACACACACACCCATAAACCACACATCTCTCTTCTCCCCCCTTCCCCGTCTCTCTCTCTCTTACACACACACACACACACACACACACACACACACACACACACACACACACACATTCAAGTCAGAAGTCAGAAGAGCTGGCCCTGTGGACTACACAGGCCACAGCATCTGGGGTCACAGAGCAAAGTAGACAAAGAGGGAGAGATCCGGAGTGAACAGGAAGTAACAGGGTAAAGAAAAAGAGAAATCACAAGTCTTCCACCCAGAGGAAGTACTTGGGTAGAGAGAATTCCTCGAGGACATTTTAGGCTGCAGCTCTTGCTGGTGGCTGGGAGCACAGTACAGTTCTTCTCAAAGTAGAGTTAACCACAATGTACTTGGAAGTCCCAAACAAAAGCTGTTTTAAAGGGCCAGGAATACAGCTCCCTGGGAAAGCGCTTGCCTAGAAGCGTGAGGCCCTGGGTTTCCCCCCATAACTCCAGCACAAACAAAGGAAAGCCATGCAAAGAACAACATAATGGCAGATAATAATTGCACTCAAATGCTTCGGTGATTGTCGTAGTACATTAAAGTACGCACACGCTCAGAAGGACCCAAGTCAGTCAAAGGCGGTGAGTTTTGGGTTTGGTTTTGCTTTTAAGCAGAAACTAGTTACCTGAATTTCTTGAAATTCAAATGATCTTGGTTTTTTTATACTCCTGGCTCTTCTTTGGTAGAAAAAAAATTAAGATTTTTGTTGTTGTTTCCTGGAAACTACTGTATACATCAAATTGGCTTCCGGCTGAGAGATTCGCCTGATACAGCCTCCTGAGGGCCAGGATAAAGGTGTGCAGAACTACACCCCAGCTCAGGAAAAGCAAAGGAATCCTGTGGAGCATACCCCCATCCCCCCACCCTGTCTAGGTGTCACTCACCCACTTCCCTCCTTGTCGGGAAGCTGAGGTGAAGCTCAGAACCCTGCTTAGTGTGATAAGGGCAGGGAACACACAGAGGGCTGTTTCCACCCTCCCTAGGAAGTAACTTAGGCAGTGTTGGTGGTAGCCTGTGACCACCCTCGACTGTGGAGGGGAAGATCTGGGTTTTCTTGGTCTCACTGGCACGTTCGTGCTACAGAACAGCTGAGGGAAACATCAGGCATACAGTTGTGGGATTTTCCGATAAAACAGTCTAGCCAGATGTTTGAACTGGGGTCTATGTGCACGTCGGGAGGACCTTCATCAGCTGAGATTACAGGCAAGACCCATCACTTCTGGCTCGCATGCTGTGGGGTTCTGAAGAGGGGAGGCTGAGTGTGGATTAGTCTTTTCTCCCCATCGTGAAGGCAACAGACATGTAGGGACTCGAGCAGACCTGCCATGCTTACTGAGGTAGTGAATCTCAGCCAATGGGAGGCTAAGGAGGGTTGCCATGGAGACCGCCCTATAGAGTGAGACCTGATGATGTTCATGTAAAGCAGCAAAGGAGGAGACTGGAGCCAACCAAGTTATCGTTGCTTTTCGTTAGTTTATTTTAGTTCTTTTAGATTGCTTTCCCCTCGTGGTGATGCTGGTAGATTGCCCTTGCAGCATTTTAGGAAGTGTTTTCAGTAGAGTTCCCTGTGCTTCAGGTTCCCAGGGCCACCATTTAGAAATTCACTGAATGACTCACAAAACGCAGTGTCAAGTACACTCGTAGCCAAAAACTCACTGCAGCCGTGTTCCAACAACGGATGTGCACCCAGCTTGAAGGCTTCCCCCCAGGACCCGTGGGTTTCCTTGTGTTCCCCTTCCCAATCTGGTCACTCTTTACCAGCCAGGAAAATGGAACAAACTGTGTGACCTGTTTGTACCCTGACACCCACTAGATACTATCTGGTCTTTGTCCTTGGGGTTTGCTCACGTAGGGACTCCATGTAGCAACATGTCACACTCCCAGAAGGAAAAGCATGTTCCCCAGTTGAGGTGCTGTGACCCACCACAATTTAGGGACAGTTCTATAAAATAGTAGGGAGATGCCATCAGCTAAGTCCTCAGGCCCCAGCGAGCAGGTTTTGCTAGGAGGGCACCTACTGATCAGGAGATCCTGCTTACACAGCACCACCTTCAAACTTACTTTACGAAGAAGACTCGGAGTCATTCCAGGTTGCAAGTCAGTCTGTGGTTATTCGTTTGAGATTGCTTTTGCCGCAGATGCTCGGCTCTTTCCCCCAGAAGCTCTGTATCGAGAGTGAAGCTGGCTTGAAGATGGGGAGGGAGCCTGTGTCCACTCCCTCTGCCTGGTGCATGACTTAGCTCTCACCATCTGCTCTCTCCCCCAGCCCCATGCCTGTCCTCATTGTTCATGCGCTTGGCTGCAGTCTTAGCTTGGCTGCTTGTTGGCTGTCTTAGTTAGTTCCCTGTTCCTTTGTTAAATTGCTAAAGCAACTTAATTGAGAGAGAGTTTATTCTGGCTCACAGCTCAAGGATCCAGTCCGTCATGTCAGGAAAGTTCCATGGCAGGAGAGCAAGGCAGCTTGTCACTCTGCTTCCGCTGTCAAGAGCAGAGAGAGAAGAATGTTGATCTGGTCTCATTTTCTTTGTTTTCATTCTCGATGGGGGATGTCCTTCTGTATGTATATTTCTCTTACTGGTTAATGAATGAAACATTGAATGTACAATAGCCAGGCAGGAGGTATAGGCAGGGCTACCATACAAGGAGAAATCTGGGCAGAGGAGGCAGAGAGAAGCCTCCAGGGAGATGTCATGTATCTACTGGGAAGGTAGGATGCCCGGGCATTCTCCAGTAAGATAAGGCCTTGTAGAACTACATAGATCAATAGTTATGGGTTAATAATTATTAGAGAGCTAGCCAGTAAGAAGCCTGAGCGATTGATCAAACAATTTATAATTAGTATAAGCTTCTGTGTGTTTACTTGGGACTAAACGGCTGTGGGACCAGGCTGGACAGAAACTCTGTCTACACATTTCACTCATGATCTAGCCAATAGAAGGTGCCTCCCACAGGTAAGACAGGTCTCCCCACATCCTTTAACCAAAGGTAGGTAATCCCCCATGGGTGTGGTCAGAGACTGGCCTCCTAGGTCATTCAAGCGTCTGTCCCATGGACAATCAATATTACCTGGGACATGGGCCTCCTGGGTTTTCCTTTGTATTGTTGTATGAAAAGCATCCTTTTCCTTGAAAGCCTGAGAACACTGTCAGAATTCCATGATTGCTTTCTTCATGTTTTAACCCCACCGCCACTCATCATCTAAGAATGGGAGGGAGAGCTACCAAGTCTCAGTCATCTCCAGGAGTATTGTGGGGACTCCCGTCCACCACCACCTCTGGAAACAATGTCTAAATGCCTGTTAGACAAGTGATGGAGTAGCTGGTTATAGCATCCAGTTAGAGCCCTGTTCCCAGGACCCAAAGGCTTTAACTTAGTAAGCATCTGGTAAACCACTGGCCATCCTTTACCTCAACATCTATGGTGAGCTAAAGAAAAGGTCTGTCGGGGCTGGAGAGGGTATTCAGTGGCTGAGAGCACTTAAGTGTTCTTATAAAGCACTCGGGGTTTGGTCTCAGCACCCAACTCTGCCTCTGTGGGCACCTGCATATAATATATAATTATCTATCTATCTGTCTATCTATCTATCTATCTATCTATCTATCTATCTATCTCTGTCTCGGACACAGGTGCACACATGAATACATTTTAAAAGGGAAGAAGAAAAGGAATGGAGTGTCTAGAAAGAACCATGCCCAGGATTCCTGCCTTAACTTTCCACTCCCGATCCCCTACTGCTGTGTCCGTGGGGTTTCCCTCCCATCCGGGGAAGGCACGTTACCTGCAGAGCCAGAGTGCATCCTGAGCCAGCTTCCCCAGGCTGGGTAGCTCAACCCTGCTCCTGGTTTTGGAGACAGACTCTGGTGAACCGCATGGACGGACGGCCTTGGCATGCCTAACCCGGTTTCTCACCGGCGTTTGTTTGCTTCTGAGTCTAATCCACGGTGGTATTTTTTACTTTCTCCATTGTTGACTTAGATTTCATGAGATACTGATGTCAGCACACCAGGGGACCACTAACAAAGCATCGTTTTAGAACGAAAGTCCTGCGAATCCTAGTTAGGGAACTTTGGGGATCAGAAAGAATAAAACACCTTAGGCAACCCAGGGAGATTAGAGTCCCCTAGGATCTCACTGGAGGAGTACAGACAGACATGTGGACACCAACAAGGCCAGGGGGTAGTTTATCAAGGCTCACAGAGAGTGAAGAGTGCCAGGAATTAGAAGCTTTGCCTCCGGGTCCTGATCCTGGACAGCCTCACTGTGTGACCTTGGACAAGGCGGGGGCTCTTGCTTTGTTTACAAAAGTGGGGATTGGTCAAGAAAGTTGCCAACACGCCTCCAGTCCCAACTTTCATAATTCCTTCTGGATACGGTGATTCCGTGGGGACGCTTCGGAAAGAGAGATCGTCTGACCTTGGGCTGACCTTGAGCTGGTGGATCAGCTCTGGCCACCAAAGGGATGGAAGGAACACACACCTCCCCTGCCCGGCCTCAGTGCCAGGGTGCGTGGCTGCTGCTCTCTTCGAGCTTCTACAGCCCGTCTCTTTGTCTCTCGGAATCCTTCGGAAGCAGACAGCCTGGGCCACCCAGTTGACCAAGCTGTCACCCAGTCATTCCATCCGTGTGTGTGTGTGTGTGTGTGTGTGTGTGTGTGTGTGTGTGTGTGAGAGAGAGAGAGAGAGAGAGAGAGAGAGAGAGAGAGAGAGAGAGAGAGAGAGAGAGAGAGAGGAGAGAGAGAGAGGAGAGAGAGAGAGAGAGACTGATGGGACAGAAAACGGATCTCGAGCTCCCTCTGAAGTGAGGTCTAGTCTTCCTCAGCCACAGGAGTCGGACGTTGCCTCAGGCTGGTGGTGAGACACAGGCCCTCTGTTAAGCCAAGTTTAGACAAGAGCTCCAAGGCACAAATGAGTAACCGTTGATGAGTCAGCGTGTGCGATACTTCCTCCAGCTTCACAGACCTGGGGGCCTGGCTCCAAGCCTCCTCTGCTCTCCAGGTGGAGGGTTTTTTTCCTTCGTGTATTCAGGTTCTAAATCTATGGTCTGGTCTGGCAGGCAGAGGTGAGTCAGCGCCCCCTGCAAACAGCAGTCTGGCACCCTGCTGTCTCGTGGGCCTGCACTGGGGTGTGAATTCACTTGGTGCCATGAGATGAAGAGACCTCAGAGGGCTTCTTAGCCTAGTCCTCTCTCAGAGGCTCAGGTCACTCACCACCAACCACGCTGTAGGAGGGAGGCTGGCTGGCCTGTGTGATCTTCAGACATTTTTTTTATTCCCAACTGTGAAAGGAAAGACGGTGAGCATATTTAGCAGATTATGAGACGACTCTGGAACCAGAATATTCAGGTTTATATACAAAGTGTCCTCCACCCAGGGGCGTAAATAATCTAATTAGCCGCTAATACATAAGTTGAACAATCGCAAGTCTCAAAAGTACTCGGTGTTCTGTATCACACCCGTTTTGAGACAGCCACTCCTGTTCCTCTCTGTAACACACACTTTAGGGAAAGGTGAGGGGGGGTCTCCTTTATCATTCACGCCATGAGGTGCTTCAGGAGGGACAATGAACACCTCTTGAAGGATCCTTGTCTGTGGCTTCCCCCAACCTCTCTGCCTGGGCCTCCTGCCCCCACCCCACCCCCAAAGGTGGTGCCTACGGCCTTGTGTTCCCTGCACAAGTGCATAGGCTGACCAGACAGACCATTTTCCTCATTGCCATGCGTGTCTCTCCACCGTCGCCTCAGTGGAAACCCCCAGAGAGTAAGAAGCACATGGACCCACCCACTTCTGACAGATCTGTACAGAGGATGTGATCACAGTCAACTTGAATCCCGGGAAACGGGTTGGGCTAACCTTGCTAATGTACTAAACGGTGATGTCCCCTGAGGGGACAGGCCAGGCACAAACAGGCCCTGTGCTAGTGTCTGTGCAGCTGGTGAATGTTCATTGGACGGTACATCGTGCGTGCGGTGTTGTGCTCTACACTGGGGCCTAGAAGTACGATGGCTGCCACAGGAGTGAGGGTTACACAGAGCGGGGAGACATAATAAACAGCCCCAAAGCAACTCAGACAGAACAGCTATTCGGGTAAAGCAGGATGTCCACCTGCAGAGGGTTGGGACAATCGGTCTTCTTTAAAGTAAGTTCTGAATAATAAAAAGTGGGGAAAACAGAAAAGGCAATAGTGAGAGAGGGAGGGAGGGAGGAGAGAGACAGAGAGAGAGAGAGAAATAGAGAGAGACAGAGAGACAGAGAGACAGAGAGAGAGAGAGAGAGAGAGAGAGAGAGAGAGAGAGAGAGAGCACTGTCCCTGGAGCAGAAATAAACCTGGCACATTAAAGAAGCAGTGAGAGTCGGTGAGGGCGGGGGAGGAGGAGATTGGAGAGCTGGCTGGGACCAGATCCCACAGGTTACTGTAAGCGCACTGGCAGGCCACTGCTGTGCTCTGGGAAGGGGCCAGCTGAAACTGTTCTTGGAGGCACTTTGAGAAGTGCCCTTGCTAACCAGGCTCTGTTCTTCCTGTGTGGAGATGCCCCTTTCTGCATTCCAGGGAAGAGTGATGCCTTTCCCAGGCACCTGGCCTGCTCAGCTGTCGAAGTGGGGGCTGTCTGGACCTTCAGGGGAGACAGAGATCCTTGAAACAGAGTGAGTTTCTTGGGGAAAGAGGCCCCAAACTTGGCACTGACCAGCTTCTCGCTGACCAAGTTTCTTTCAGTTGAGAGTAGCAAACGCAATGTAAGCTTAAAGTTGAAAGGCCACTTGTTGATGCCAAAGTCATTGCAGGGGTAGATCTTGTCGCAGGGAATCTTCGTCAAGACCCCCTCTGTCACGGGAAGCTCCCCATTCTGTATTCTTTGTATTCATATTATTCTCTCTTGTCCTAGGAGGGTCTCCTTCCAAACAGAGTCACTCCCCGGGCCTTTGGAAACCCTGCACTTTGGAATCAGCTTCTTGAAATGTTCTAAGTTACTGCCCATGCCATCAGGACAGGGTACCCCAAGCCAAGCCTCAAATGAGTCCTCATCTCTTCACCATGGACCATCTTTGAGTTGTCACTGCCATGTATGTTAAGTTCTATATAGGGTCAGCCATATGTTCTGAGAGACTTCAGGGTTCTCCTCTGTGGGATTGACCTGAGACCCTGGGGTTTAACTCACTTCATCAGCAGGAAGATGACCCAGTGAAGGATTACTCCTGTAGGTCAGTGTGGCGTTTCTCACTGGACCTCGGGAACTCAGAGTGCTATTGGCATGCTAACTCAGGGTGTTCTTTTTCTTTGCTTTGTTTTAGAGACAGGGTCTCACTGTGTAGCTCTGGCTGTCCTGGAACTCCCTTTGTAGGCTCTACTGGTCTCAAACTCAATATCCACCTGCCTCTGCCTCCTGAGAGTTAGGATTAAAAGCGTGTACCACTGCTGCCCACCACTCATGATGTTCTTAACTCCCACCTGTTAGGAAAAGCTCTGGGCTGCGCTAGGCCCAGGCTGCACTGTCTGGACACCCAGGCGTCTCTCTCTGCTGCCTGAGCTCTGATTGTGGCATGTACTGCTCTTTGCTGGGCTCTGTCCCAAACTGTGCCTGATCCTCCAAGGGTTCCAGATCGCTGTTGCATAAGGCCAACAAGCCATTCCAACTTATGATGGATGTCCCCTCTGGCTCATGATTGATGTGCTGGCTTTGTGTCCACATTCCTGGTGAGTAACATTCTGAATGCCAGTGCTCTGGCTGGCCCCTGCCCTTCCCGCTCACGTGGATGGGGCCCATAACCATTGGCATCTTCCTGCTGTTTCCATTTTTGTGTCTCCTCCCTCCTCCACCCTCAGGGTAGACAAGCCTTAGTCAGGCAGACCAGTTTTTAAGGAGGTGCCATTGCAAGAGACCATCCATCCGCCTTGACTGACTTTGACATAACTCAGATTCTTTATGATTGCTCCTTGAAGGTTGAAAGAGAGGTCTCTTCACACCCAGCAGCTGCAGCCGCGCCTCTGAGCTCTAAACCTTGCCAAAGTGGCCCAGGAAGCTCATGGCTTTTCTTCATGCCTGCTCCTCCCTTCTAGTGCCTTCTCGTTTGTGTTTGTGATGCCCAGCATGAAACCTTCCAGAAAGGCATGATTGGTAGTGCCTGGAATATACCTTCTCTGATATGGTATGGTTTTAAATACTTGGCATGAAAAAGAAAAAAAGAACTGGAGATTATCTGTACATTATTTGAAATTTTTAATTTATATTGAAATAACATTTTAAATGCATTGGCTTCAATTAAATCTATAAGCAGGACTAGATTTCTCCCATTTTTTTTATTTTGTTATCTGACTGCTAAGAATAATAGGGTGTAGGTGGAGCTCAGCATCTGTGAGGCCACGGGTCCTATCCCCAACCCCGTAGAGAAGGGGAGGGGAGGGGAGGGGAGAAAGAGGAGGGGAGGTGGGGAAGGGAGGAGAAAGGAGTGGTTAAGAAGGGGAGGGGAGAGAAGAGGAGGAGGGAAGTGTAAGAGAGGGGAGAAGGGAGGAGTAAGGGGGAGAGAGGGGCAGGGAGAGAAAAGAGGGAGAGGATATAGGAGAGAAGGGGAGGGGAGGCAGGGGAAGGGAGAGGGGAGAAGGGGAGGAAGGACAGGGAGGAGAAGCCCCTTCCGTGCACAGAGCTCACAGTATAGCTCTAGGACACAATGCTGGCCAGACCGTCTCTGTGGACACTTTCTCCTTCATGCCTTCCTCTGTGTCAGCCTGGCGGAAGTGAGACTCCTCGCGTGGGGACACCAATGCCAAAGGCTCCCTCTCTGGCAGCCTCACCCCTTTATTGTCCCCACATGAGCTGAGTAGCATTTGGTTTAAAATAGACACCCCCCCCAGTGAAGTCTCAGCTCCCGCTTTGTCGCTAAAAAAACATCCACATACAGGTGCGGCTTCAAACTCTCACTACAGTTCCTTTCCCAAAGAGTCAAATTTCTTCAAAACTACCAAAGACGCTTAGATTACGAATCTGCCTCTTGTAGCACTTCAAACATTCAGTGACGCTCTTTTCATGTCACCTCATACAGCAACGGCACAATGGAAGGCTCATGGAAGACCAAGCAAACGGCGACACCCGTGCTTGAAGGGCAGAAATCACACCACGCTCAAGCAGATCACCTGAGTATTCCTAATCCTTTCCATTATCGGGATGGGTGGGTGCAAAATTAATGCCCCGACTAGGGATGTTTGAAGACTGAAGACACGCTGGCGGAACCCCTGCCTGACCCTTGGGATGGGTGTCGGTGCAGGGGACTGGCCCCAGGGTCTGAGTGTTCGCCCAAGAGCTATAGCCCAAGGGGGGGGAGCACTTTTAACTAAGGACACAGTACACCATCTGCAAAGGAGTCAAAATGTTTTGAAAACCATCAGCAAGCGTAACTACATTCCGAATTTAAAGGTGTTTGTAAGTCTGAGCTCTGCCAAATACACATTTAATTTTCCTGTGTGGTCTGTTTTAGTTGTGTTTAGTGGACTGTTAGGAAGGGGTTGTTAGGAGAAAGAACGCTGGCCTTTCATCTTATTGGCTGGCAGATAATGCAATAAGTGGCAAAGAACATTTCCATTTGGGATACATCATACTCCTCTGCCGGGGTCTGGCCTGTATCAGTCCCACACTGCAGAGGCCATCTATTCCAGTCTGATGTCTTTGGGACTGTGATCAGAACCAGCCAAACAGCCCCGGGACCGACCATGAGTCGGGGAGTGTGGATGAGGGAAAGCCTAACCACCCAACGATGTTAAGGACGGGACAGAGACGTCTGGTCATCTCAGGGGGGCTCTCAGTCAATACTGGAGATCATGGTTTATTCCAACATCATCTTAAATAGCTCTCCAAAAGCAGGGGTACTAGCAGAAGACATCTATTATCATGTATAAAGGGCTGAATGGGAAACATTTCCTTTAATCCTAGAGATACTCCTAAACTGCATGTACTCAAGTCCTCAGACACTCCATAAAGACACGTCTCACCAGCCCTCAGATATTCTCACTAGCCCTCAGGGTGGGTGTGGAGTCACCCAGGGCCCAGGTCTTTTGTCACAGAAACTAGGAGCCATTCCCCACTGTGGCCAGGCCATCTGGAGGTAACCAGCCAACATCTAAAAAACAATAGGAGTTCTGAGCTCCTAGAATTTTGTGGTTGAGCTGGGGCATATTTCTGAAATATTACATTCAGGCCCCAACAATTCCCCTCTCTTAAATTAATAAAAGGATACTCGTCTCCTGCAACAGGACAGGTGACTGTGCCTGACTTAGATGGCCTTCTTCAACACACCAGAGTTTACCCGTCATGGAATCACACATTCTGTCATGCGTGCTCTGTCTTGGGTCACCCAGAGGCAAGAAACCAGCCTCTGTAACAAAGAACATTAGGGGAGATGGAACCTAGCTAGATGCCACGTGCCTCTACGCCAATTTTTTAATTGAAGCTCACCAGCAAGCTTGACAACGTCAAGCAACATCCATGATCTCATGGCTGCAATGTTCTCCTGCAAAAAGAAGCAGACGAATCAAGTTAAAATGGCATTTTGAAACTGGCATGGGAATGTCTCGGGTGCCCCTGGCTATATCAAAGTCTAAATCTGCCTTTCTAATCACGTTGTTCCCAAAGACTTATAAGCTACACATCACATTCCTGTCAGAATGAACTCTGACCTCTTATATCCATAAACATTTGCACAGCGTGGCAAAGGTTACAGACATTAACAATTCCAGTATGAGTAGCCACCACAAACATACACTTGGGTGGGTTACAACTGTCATCATTACAATTCAATCAAAGGACAATAAAATGTTCTCACGACGGGTGGAGTGTGAACGACTTCGGACAATTCTAAACATTTACCTTCTCAATGCTCGGTGAGCTTTTCCTTTTCCTTGTCTAAAGTCCAATGCTCTGTGAACTTTTTCCCTTTCCCTATCTAAAGTCCAATGTTCTGTTGGTTGCAAAATTCCGAGATCAGGTTTGAAATATTATCACAGTCCTTGGATGTTAACTGCAAACCTTTTTGTCCATTTCCTGTTCAAATACTGAGGAGGGGTTTTTGCCACTCCTCACAGTCCATACTAGTGTCCAATTTGTTCTAAATGGGTCCTTTTTCCCCAACGGGAAAAACTGATGAAGTGAGTTCTGTGTTTCCAAGGACAAACTGCTAGTTCACGTCAGCTCCGGGATGAGAGCTCACAGGTCTGGGAAGTCGATGTATCTGGTCTGTTGAGAAACTGGAACTCTCACACTGTAGACTCAATGACATCAAAGGTCAGAGACACTGGTTCAGCATGTTTCAAACTGGCTTGGGCAGGCTCCCACAGTTTCAAGTCCGTTTTTCCTCTGCTCCACACATCTCACCAAAAGGTCTGGCAGCCATCGAGCTTTATTCTTTTCCTGCAAGAAAGCACAAACATTGCCTCCACCCCAAATCGAGTCTTCTCCACTATCTAGTGCATGGATGTCTTTATTTGACCTGAGCAAAAGTCGCTTGAATTCCATCATGTCAGAATATGTCTACGCCAGATTGCTCACTGGCATCCACATTTTAAAATTTAAAATATAGAGAGCATGACTTAATGCATCATGTGGAGACTGGGGACACTACTCCCCCTTCTTAATTTTTCGAAGTTGTATTTTCAAGGAGCTATGGAGCACAACTGGCAATTCCTTGTCCTTGGGGATTATAAGAAATACCTGTTTTATGATCAGTTTTCCATTGAGCACAAAATTGCTGTAATACCTTATTAGAATATCCAGATCCGTTGTCTCTTTTTATCATTTTTGGAACTCCCATGTAAGCAAAACATTTTAAACAGTGACTTATCACATGCCTAGTGGCTTTTCCAGTTTGTGCAGTGGCCGTCAAGAAAACTGAATACGTAGCAATTGCCACGTACATATATTTTAACTTGCCAAATTCTGCAATACGAGTAACATCCATTTGCCATAAATGATTAGGAAGTATGCCTCCTAAATTAGTTACAGATAAATATTGTGGGCACACCTCAGTGTTTGGCAATTTTGACGAGCAGTCTCTCTAACTAAACCAAATTGTTTTCTTAGACTTCTGCTGTTCTGATGATGAAAGTTATGAGACTGTAGAGCTCTCTCTACCTGAGATAAAGCGACAAATTTTGTTAATCTATCTGTTAACTCATTCCCTTTGGCCAGTGGGCTGGGAAGGTTTGAATGAGCTCTTACATGACCCACAAAACATGGTAATTTTCTTTGATAAATTGCAATTTTAATTTTCTCTAACCCGATCATTACTAGTTCCTATGCACAGAACTGTCTCTATCATTTGAAGAGTTTTAAAAACATAATGACTGTCAGTATACAAATTAAATGAATCATTTACTAGAAGTTGAAAACTCATAGCATCAGCTTGTAACTCGACTGTCTGAGCTGAAGCTGGGGTTGTCTGCCCCACACATTCCTTACTGTCTATAAAATAAGCTGCTCTTCCAATAGAGGAACCATCAGTAAAAACTAACATGGCATTTTTTTACAGGACTGCTCCTCACTATTTTTGGGAATATAAAACCGATGCATTGGCGCAAATTGCAACAGTCTATGAGCTGGAAACTGATTATCAATCTTCCCTGAAAATTGAGCAAAAGCAATTGCCCACGAATCGCTGTTCTGAAACAACCAATCAACTTAAGTTGGTTCTCTGCCAAAATATCTCCTAGATTCCATATGGCATTTCTGCACCATACAAACTACTTCTTCAAAATGTGGTTTAACACTTTGGTTGTAGAGACAGCACTGTTAATATAACATATCTACTGGTGCTGGGTTACACTCTCCAACTGTAGGAGACCTTGTCTACCCTTTTTTTGTTGACTGTCTTGGTGAATTGGGATCATTATCTTCTTTTAGAACTGCCCTTTAAAAAAGGAATGTAACCATTGAATATTTCCCAACAACTTCTGAAAAATGGCTCAAAGGTTGCAAGCTATTCTTTCTAATCTCTAATTTTTGAGGTTCAGTTTCCTTTAGGATATAACATATATCTCAAATAACTTTTGAAAACTCTCCAAAGTTTGTGAGTTGTCTTTTCTTATCCAAATTGAAAAGCTCTCTCTAGCTGACAAGTCTTATTTGCAACTTAGCTGACATGGCCTAATTTTCATCTACACTGACACCTTTGAGGGTGTGGTCTAACAGGGCGGCAGTCCCTGAAGCTTCTTCTCAAAAAACCTTTTTAAAATAATGCACTAATTTCTATTTTCTAGATTTCCTTTTCATCTTTTTAATCATATCCAAAACAATTCAAACATTTCCTTTTATTAACATTCACAATCACATTTCATACATACGGGTGTGGCCACACCATACACACAGAGTATACACACATCTTTCAGTCATCCTCTTTTCCTAGGCTGTGATTAGTTTGTTGAAACAAAACTTCTTTAGCTGAAATCTCTAGTAACATAGCAGCTATAGACAATCCTCAAATTATGAGCAAACAAAACCTGAACAAATCCAAATCTATGTATGTTGCCTTTCTTTCTCTATAAGGTCTTAAAACAGTTTCTGGCAGCCTGCATTAATTAGCGTTTTGTATACACTTGGCTGGGCGTCAGCCACGGCAGCAGCTCTCAAGGCTGTGAGCTTCCTAGGTTTCGAGCTTGGCCTTATCTTGCCTGTTGCCCTCTGGGTCTGGGCTGGCTCACTGTAGGTCATTTGTGGCTGCTTTCTTCCTCTGCATCTCGGGCGCAAACCTGGTTCCCTATTTTCTCCTCTGTCGGGATGCTGTCTGACTTGGTGCCCTCTTTGACCACATCCAAAGCAACCTCCAGAAGGCTCTGTGCCTTTCTTTCTTCTTATGCCTTGCTTTCTCTGTAGGAATAACCCATCCTTAACTGAGGCCCCTGCTGGTCCCATATCTGAACAAATCTTAATAAACGTATCTATGTCATTTTTCCTTCTATAAGGTCTTAGCGTGGCCTGGCATGCTGCGTTAGCGTTCTCATAAGTTAGTTGTTTTGTAATCAAAAGCTCAACACCTGTATCTCCCATTATTTTGGATGATGCCTGCATTAGCCTAGAGACAAAATTCTGAAATAACTCCTCAGGTCCTTGCCTGATCTTTATAACGCCTTCAGTCTGTGCCCCAGCAGCTGGAAGCTTGCTCCAAGTTCTCTTGGCAGCTGTGCCAATCTGCATACACAGTGCCATCTCAGAAGCTAACTGCTGATCTGTATCCTTGTACTCCTTGTACTGCCCTTCCTCAGCAAGTTTCTTATAAGAAATGGGAAGGTTTGGGGCTCTATTCTTCTCAGCTGTGATCTGACGCTGCTCTGCAAGTTCTGTTTTCCGCAACAAATAGTTCCCTTCTGGCAGGCAGGCCTTGGCTCTCAGCTTCCAATCTCCTGGGAGTAAGGCTTCTATAGCAATATTCTCTATGAGCATCTGGGTAAAAACTGCTGTTGGTTCATACTGAAC